TTACACGCAGACGTTTGCCACCCCCGAAGATGCAAGAAGAGCTAGTAAATGGCTACAATGTACTATGTAGCCAATGAGCACGGTGTAACCAATCCTTTTCCCGCCCAATTGCCCGAGGATCTGCAAAGAAGGGCAAAAGAACGGAAATATCGACCAGTTGACGGTAAAATGTATTTGTTTTGATCGACTAATAACCTACTAACGTATGTACTTATACACTAAAAAAGATATTGTCATGTAGGGAGTTTATACACTCTTAGAAATCCAATACAAAAATAACACCAAGCGGTATTTATGCATGACTCTACCAACCTGGTAGTCATAAGCAGTATTGTGTGCATATATAAATACATATTTATGTATGTATGAATGTAGTAATAGCTCTGTATTAAAGTTTGACCATATTGATAGAACATTTCTATGGACCTGCATAATTTTAATATTTACCATGGGATAGCAAGTTTAACACCGAGAAATCAATACCTGCGTGACCGTACCAGATTTCTAACTGTATGTAGAAGTCGAGTAAAAATTTAAAAAAAAATAGATTTATGAAACGTACATAGATTTTGCTGCCTATGTATATATGTTAAAATTCCGCCAAATGTGATTACACGCGAATGAATAAAACGAGAAAATATTGGTCCACTTATTGTTGTGTGATAATGTGATTTTTTTGGTCATAATCAGTAATAATCACTTATGTATCTCTGAATAGAATTTACCCGAAATTAACAAAAAAATACAGTAATACAACTAATTTCACTCACATATGTAAGAAAATCACCCTCCTTATATCATCGTCGGAATTATATATGTACATATTTGGAATATTTTAAACAGTACTTATCAAACTGACCGCTTTTATTTTACATGAAACAGAGACGGGCTATCCAATATGCAGACCGTACCCGTACCGTTACATCACAGTTGCATTCGTAGTAGACGGAAAACATCCATTTTATATTCGAGAGGATCAAAACCCAATTGGTAAGTTGAGCAAATCTTTATTTATGTACATAGGTATGTAGAAGTATATGACTAAATATTAATGGTGACCCTAAAAACTAAACCATACGGTGGACTGAATGGTATTCCCTTACTTGCCAATAACTATCCTTATTTATCTTAAACTTTACCCTAATGTCCCAATATACTTTATTTAACTAAATTATACGCACTATATAAAAATAAGTAAAATTTACTCAAAGTTTAGTAAACAAGAGAATGACGCTACCAGAAGGTAAAGATTTAACCACTCCTTGGACAAATTTTACGTACATAACTTAATAAGTTGGGACAAGTTTTGCACAAAGGTTGGTTAAATTTTACCTTTTGGTTGTGACATCCACTTCTATACTTCTATGTCAAAATCGTGAAATTTCTTTTTAACAATTCAAAAACCGGTTGCAAGCGGTTGTAAGGAAAAAAATTATGAAACCTTTCGTGGAAACCGATTTCGAAAATATTGAACCGTCTTTGAGCTAAAACTGCGATTTTTTTAAATTTACCTCCTCCCACTCAGCGAGGAGGCAGAATAATTCCTAAATATTGGTACCGTTGAACTCATAAAAATCGGCTCTACAAACGCTGAGAATTTTATCAAAATAAACTTTTTTGTCTTAACACAAAAAAAGTTGATTTTGATAAGATTCTGTTAAGTAACCGACTTCGGTTTTTATTATTGGTATTTATATGTAGATATCTGGATTTTGGAAGAGATACTAAAATCATATCAAAACATTTGGGAGTGCACCCACACTAAATTTTTTCTGAACTCCATACCCAATTTGTTTTTGAAACCTTTGAGTGGGCATGACTGGCAATAATGTGGCAATGAAGTTAAACTATTTCAGGATCTTAGTACATGCATTCGGTTATTAAAGAAAATATTCAATTTTTAAATTAGAAAATTCCTTGCACATAAATACCGTTCGTTCCAACATTCTGGCAAAATGGTTTGCCTGCATGATATACCATGGCGATCATAGGCCGCACTATAGATTTGTATTCAAACATGCAACAAAAAGATGAAGGCCAGCGCTCATAAATACAAAAATGTATTCACCCATGCCACCCTCATAATTTGTTGGTTCAGAAAGAAACCAGTGCCATCAACCAATTTCGTCGCGAAAGTCCAGCCAACTTTGATAACGGCCTAGAAATTTCCCTTAAATGGCGCGTCTCCTAATAGAAAATCAGATTTATCGGTGGCGAAGACGCGTAAAATGTTACCAGAGAGGCATATGTAAGTACGACCTGAGGGGTTGACTGAAATTATAATATATTTTGACAAGGGGTCTTTCGAAGGACCAAACAATCTCCATTGTCGATAATCTAAATTTAATGTGTATAAGCAAGGCTTGATTACCGGTTTCTAGGACTTGACAACTTTTGCATTTCAATTAAACTAAATATAATTCAATGTAGTTTTCCTTAGATTTGGCTCAAACATCCCCGTTTTATAAAACACTGATCGGAGAAGATTCTCCTCATCATGCTTTAAATAAAATGTTTCCCAATCACTGGTCGGATTACATGTTGCGCGTCGCGTTGACCTCATTTGCCGACTGGTCCGTGAGCAGTCCGAAATCATCATTTTACTGCTTTGAGATAATCCAACGGGATCATGGACTTACAAACAAAACACCTAGAAACCTCTTACCATATATGGATTCGGACGGGTGGGACTCAACCCTGAATGCGGTGTACTTCACAGCCATCGATAGTATGATTTATTTTAGAGAGGATCTAAATGTGATAGTCTTCATCTCCAATAATAAGTGGAAATGGAGCGGTGATAGCAATCCTATGCGAGGACCGGAATACGAATTTCCTTCTCCCGACGTTGATAGCACTAAAGGAAGATGCAAACAGGGTCCCGTATCTAAAAATGTGCTTTATTCGGCGCTGGAGAGACATAAAATCTTGCTGATTGGTCTCTTCACGCCGAAAATCTATCAGGAGTATAGAATGTTTTTCAAAGATGCCCCACATCCTGAGAACTTTCACATGTTGGAAATCAATGGGACCGTGGGTGCCACAGACGAAAGAACGGCGGCAGGTATTAAGGATCAGATAATGCCAATAATTCGAGATCGTGCCTGCACTTGTGAAATACGATACGAATTTGCTCTCATAATCGACTCCACACAAACATTTATTGGTAAAGAATAATTTGAAATCATTATATACGAAACATTATGAATTCATGGATTTATGAACACCAGTATATGAATATCCGGTAATACTGGACATGCCGGACCGGTATGTCCAGTGGCGGGTTATCCAGGAGCTAGGGCTTGAGTGACATATGTAGGGCTCCCTCGCTGGCAAGGCATATATATGATTGCAAGTTTTGAAGCGAATTTCCAAGAAAAAATTCGCACGAGTGGCAAACCAATTTTTCCACTCACTTTAAATTTTTGGCTGTCATTTTTTAACGAAGAGATAATTAAATTCTGTGTTCAGTTTTAGAATGCTTATCAAATTTTCCACTTTTTGTGCATTTTACATATCCAAAATTAATTTCTAATTGGTTAAAAAAACAGGGGGAACCATGCCACTTTCATTGTGTAGACACTTTACATATGCCATATTCTACTCTCGTATCTATTTCGTCCCAATTTTATGTACATTTGTTTTGGCTAGATCTTTCATAAATCGTCCGAAGTTCTTCTCCGTTGATAATTTATGTACCTATCCGGGTAAATAATTGAGTCTCCAGTCCAAAAACAGCGAACAAGAAGACGTCTGCTAGTTGCTCGCTGTTGTTTTTTTTACCTAATTTTGGAAAGGTTAAAGGTATCAACTATATACATATACGCCTACATATGTAGGTACCAGCTTTCAGATTTTACTTGCAAGATTTATTTATATACTACACGACTATGCATAGCAATTTCCGGTTTTGGCAAACTGATATTCTTCAGGATTAGATATATGCCTTTGATTTTTTTTCGGTTACTTGTAAACACTTCAGTTGCGAACAAGATTTGAGGGATGATGCCAAGGTAAAGAGTGCCGTAAATGATTTCGAGAAACACGTGAATCAGGCGGTTGTCAATTTGGTACAAAAAGTTTCCAGAGGGCGTACCTTATATTACTCAAAATTTATTGTATATAACATATTTCTTACAGACAAATTTCGAAATAGAGTGTACAATTTAAGGACATACTTAGAACTCGCTATGCCCAAAATTGTATTCATCGTTGACAAACTACTCAAGGAAGATCCCACCGCGAAACTGCACCTGACAACGTTTGGAGATTACCCCACTGCCCAAAACCACAATGAAAATGCCACTTACTGCTACCGCTACGAACTAACGACGTCAAACAAGGAAACATTCCTCACCGCGGTAAAGACTGTGGACAGCACGTACGGCGGAATAGATAAGAAAGAGTCCAGCTTGACAGCTATACTCTACACTGCGACGGAACCGAAGATCAAATGGTCGTCGAAGGACACGAAGCGGGTCGTAAAAATTATTTAAATCGTTTAACAATACCAAAGAAGGGCCAGAGTATGCGTACCCAGAAGGTCCGATCGGTGCGTATGGGAATTGCTCACAGCGTCCCCCAATTATTAGAGATGTCTTTAAAACATTAGAAAAAGAAAGATTTTACTTGATTCCAATGATTTTTGGAGACAACAGTAGAACCCTCTGGGATGGAGTGTTAATGAGTGTAATGAAGGATAAGTATTTTATAGAAGAAGAGCCGATATATGAACCCAGTAATCGAGACTTTGACAAGGTTGGAAAGGCTATCAACACCTGGGCTAATGAGGGTTGCGCGGATTGAGCTAATTAATAAGGTAGAGATTATGAGATAATGATTTTACACTAATTGTAAGAGGGAAAAAAACAATACCCAATCCAGATTAATTGATTCCTCAGTCATTTTCATTCAAATCATAGGAAATTCATTTTCACTATCATGCTCTATCATAATAAGTCAAATGAATGAAAGTGAACAGGTATGAGCTACATACATAATTTAATCACATGGCAATTAAAATTATTTATTTCAAAATTTCATACGCATTTAAATAAATACGTCAGTGAAATACATTGCTTACGATAAGGTCAGACTTCTCCTGTTAAAAATTATATAATAGGACCAACAAAATGTAATATTTTATGTGTGTTTAAATAAATCAACAAAAACATATTCACCTGAACCTTTGTAACGGAGGATTAGCAATTTTTCAAAATTGTTTAAACACATTTTCCTCCAATTAAGAAATGTTATTAAATTGTCTAAAATTGCTAATGTATTTTACATCGAGGTAACATTTATGTATTTTGTAACAATCTAGTTCATTAGAATATTATTGGCAACATTTTTAAATATAAAATTCTTTGAAGTACATTCAAATGCAGAGAACAAAACAAATCGGAAAATCCACTTTACGAAAAGGAGAAAATAACAATTAAATAGTTTACAAAATTGTTCCGTCTAATTAAAAAGTTAAACAAGTTCTACTTACTCACGCCAACTTTGTAGCTTTGCAAACTTACACAAAATTAAAACACGTTCATGATTTATATAAATTAGATGTTCAACCATTTGCATAAATTGTTATAAGTACAACGTATTGTATGTCTTACAAAATTACACAGCTTTGCGTAAGTAATATTTAACCTATGTAGGAAAATCAGTTTTACGACATACGTCTACACCAATTAGAACTAAACCGTTTGCGAAATTGTTATATCTATAATTTTAAAATTAATACATATCACTTCACGCAGATCTTTGTAATTACGCAGATTTCCAGACTAATGCACGTTGTTGTTAATTCATAATTTTGTAAACTCTACAAACCTAACAAGTTACAAAACTTTGGGTTATAAGTAATTTTCCATATTTAGCAATCAAAAAATCAATACATATCATATCACGCCAGTTTTTGTAACTTTGCAAAATTCCAAACTTTTACAAACTCTTACAATTTTGTAAACTTCACAAATCTAACAAAGTTACATAGCTATAGGATAAGTCATTCATAACTTATACAAGAAAACAAGTCCAAACTTAAAGAAATGGTAACATTGCAAAAAATTAGTTGATATCTATCACGCCAAATTTGTAACTTTGCAAATTTTCCAAACTATTACAATTCCTTCTTCCATCATAACTTTGTAACCTTTACAAACCTAACAAAGTTACAAAGCTTTGCGCCAAGTCATTCATCCCTCACAAACAAAAATATTTAACTACAAACTTTTAAATAAGTAGAAATCATAACATCGCAAAAACTTAATTGAAATCGTTTCACAACGAACTTTGTAACTTTGCAAATTTCCAAACCATTACAAATTCTTGCTCCCTCATAATTTTGTAAACTCTACAAACCTAACAAAGTTACAAAGCTTTGCGCTAAGTCATTTATCCCTCACATCAAACATTAGTACAAAGTAACAGAAAAATTGTAAAAAATTATTGACATCTCTTCGCACAATTTTTGCAACTTTGCACACTTGCAAACTTTTACAACTTGTTCTTGTTCCATCATAATTTTGTAAACCTTGCAAAGTTACAAAGCTGTACGTCAACTCACACAGAACAATCTCAGCTTAATAATTAAAGAAATCGCAACATCGCATCCGCAAATTCCATCTCGACCGGATCTCCGGCCACGTTTGGGTGCATGACGCCCACGTGCAAGTCCAACCCGGCCTGGTCGTGAAATCCCATGTTGCACAGACCACAGACCACGATATGTTCGCGGATGTGGCGCTCCAGTTGGTCGCGGGGGAAGGGTTCGTCGCAAAACTGGCAGATGCGAATGTCACAAACCGCCACGTGCTCGGCGAGATGATCTTCGCGCAGAAAACTTTGCCCGCACGACGCGTGCGGACAGGCGAAGGGATGTTTCGACAGCGTAATTGTCCAAGTCGGGTCGGTCGCGGAGCGGCGGGGGCGACTGACGCGCGCCGCGAGCCGGGTCGCCGCACCTTCATCTTCGGATGATGAAGAAGATGTCGAAGTCTTGCGGTCTGTGGATTTTCGCTTGTTCCGTTTTCGACAAGTTTGGGCGTTGATGTGCCTGCAATTTGCATAAGTTTGTATTTACAAGTTTTTCTTACATTTATAAGTTTTTAAAATGCAATTTAAATTAATTTATTTAATTTACATGTTTAATTAAATATTTAATATTTAAATAAATAGAGCAAATCTTACATGAACCCGATCACTTGGAAATTTATCCTCAAAATGGTCAAAAATGATTTTTAAAATCTCAAATTTTTGGTGGTTATTACAAACATTACTGATATTAGGTATCCGAGAAGAAAGGAGACCTTAATCAATTACTCACTTCGAATTTAGTTTTTTTCATCGCGCTCGCCATTAATTCGTTTCCGGAAGACTTTGCAACTTCATTGTTAATTTTCTCCCTCCGTAACCAAAATTTTCTTTAAGTATCGACTGTTTCACAAAGCTGGGAATATGTCTTCTCACATATAGCCTAAATTTTTTTAATTGAGCGAAGATAATGGATGTATGTGGGATTTTAATTTTCCAGCATCAAAATGATTTTTTTCTCGATTTTTTCCTTGATAGTTATTGCATTGTGGATTAGCCCAAGGTCGGTCCAAAAAATTTGCATTTTGTATTTTATGATACACCTTGATGAAAGGAATCAGACGGTCTGTCACACATTTCCGAAAACAAACCTGTGCGTCCTCATAGCCCATATGAACTGTGGGGTCCGAAACATGCCCAAATTGACCGAACGCCAGCCAAACCTGAGATTTTTTGAGAAATTTCGAAAAATATTTTACTTTCTGTTCGGTTTTCAGTTGAGAGATATATTTCCCATGAAAAAATTCCCTTCCCGAAGTTTCTGTCACGTTTTTAAGGACGTAGGACTCGTCGTCAGTGACCAATTATTTTGGTGACATTTTGTTGCACGGCTTGGTAGGTCTTGCGTTTACCATTTTTTCTTCACGTTCCGTATGTTTTGCTGGAAATTTCTTTGAATACGCTTTGACCCGCAATTTATGGGCTTTAATATGATACAAATAGTTTGTATTAATCTTTGACTTCATGGCGGCATCAGGCACGGACGTGGATGAATAATTTTCAAAAAATGATTCAATCGTTATTAACTTTCGAAGGGCCTATATGGTGGTTTTTTCTCATGGTGCGTATTTTAGGTTGACATTTTCGGATTCTGCATACTTTTTTATGTATGTCTCAATTTTTTCACGCCCACCCCCTTCTCCGTTGAAATGCAGTCAAGTCTACTTCGAGTCGTTGTCACTCAAATTTTTGGACTTACAAAAACTCGTTTCCCGATTTCCTCAATTTGAAGTGGTGTAGGAAATTTATTTTACAATGAAAACTTATGAAATTTTGGGGAGACGTGGTCAGATATGTTTAGCATATTTTGCAAGAATTTCAGATTTCTAACCCTACTTTTGAGGACTCTGCTATTAAACGCCCTAGTGATCGGGTTCATATAAGATTTGCTCTATTTAATTTATGTTGAACACGGTATATTACCAAATAGACAAAATCATAGCATTTTGTTAACCACTTATCGCTTCTGAAAATTTATTTAAAAATTCTGAACGACAAATTTGATCGTTGTCAATTTTTTAAAATTATGCACTCCATTAGATCTAGACAGTTTTTGAAAGACGAGATCTTAGATTTAAGAAGGCTTCGGAAACATTGGAATTGGAACTCATTTAAACTCGCTTAATAAAAAACTCATTTCAGCCATTTTATTAATCGACTTAATGGCTGCAAATTTGTCGTCCAGAATTTTAAAATAAATTCCCAGGGCTCCAGAAACATGTTTAAAAATGTTTTAATTTTGACCATGTTCGTGATAAGTCCTGTCCTAAATGTGAATTTTTAGTTGCTTACAAGTTTTACTAAAAATCCAAATATTTCTAAAAAAAGGATCTGAATATCCTTATTAATTAAAAACCCACACCGGGAATTTAATCCGAAATTCTTTACCGTTTCAAAAACCCGGGCGACTGGAAGGTTTTAGAACACGTGGAACACTTGACTTTCTTCTTGATCGCAGGAGTTTTCTTCACCGAAAGGTCCATTGTTTTCTCGGCGTCACGAATTTCCTTTCCTTTTTTGACGGGAGGGACGCTCAGACTGGTGGCGGTCTCGTCGTTTTGAGAATTTGGCCGTTTTTTTGGCGGGACGGTGGATTTCCGGCCAACATTGAGATCTCCGCCAGTCTGCGTTTCTTTCGAGTTAGCTTCGAGGTGCGGCGGCATGCTGGTGGTGGCGGTGTTTACCCGGCCCGAAAACACGTGGCGGGGTCGCACGGTCCACTTGTATTTGTAAATCGGCTGCATTGTCGAGTCCTCGACGACTGTAAGATGAAAACAATTTATGAGAAATTTTTTGAAAAATTGTAAACTAAATTTTAGTAGTAAAATAAAAACATTTCTCGAAATTATGACAGATAACGGTGTAAATTTCTTGTTTTTTTAAATATGGTTTTCAAAAATGCATTGCAAATGAGGCAAAAATTGCTCCAGATTTCATAAAATTGTGATATTTAGTTAACGAATATCTTAAATTAAAAAAACTATAGGAATGAAAATTTCGCTAATTTTTTTAATTTCAACCTAAATCTTGCGTTTTCTGTAAAAAAATTTCAAAAATATCCTCCAAAAAACCCAGACTTTTTTTCACAAAATTTTGGACGACAAACATGAATTTAAGAAATTGTTTCGTTGCTTGAGGGTACTCATGATTCCTTGGTCTCATAAAAAAATAAGTTTCCGAGATAATATCTCGGAAATCTTAAAGATTTTGTCAGCACGATTTTTTTTACCCGTTCTAAATATTTTCTTTGTAAACTATTTAAAGGACAGAAAATAATAATTAATTATTTCCCAAAACTTCCCAAAGTTTACCAAAACTAATTTGTGATTTCATAAAAAGAAGCACGAAATTAATTATATAATTAATTTATATTATTAATATATATATATTAATTAATTATATTCATATTTATGTATTGTACACATACGCCCACCCGTCCAAGTCCTTCCAGGTTCGCAAGTAGTCACACTTTTTTGTCCGTTAATATCATATCTCGGGCCAGTCGAGGCGATCAATTTTGTAAAATTGGTGAGAATTGGGATCGCGTCGATGTCCCGGGTGGGCGCGGGTGAGGTCGAGGTTGCTGCTACTACTGCTGCGCCGACGATTTCGTCGCTCTTGATAACTTTGACCTTGGTGAACTGCTCCATCGCCAAGAATGGGACGGAAGGAGCCTCCGAACGACAAGCAGCTTCTAATAATAATAAGCAAAATTAATTAATTAATTCACGCCGATATTTGTAACCCAGTAACCCACATTTTATAATTTCACAAGAATTTTAAGAAAATATATGTACAGATTTTGAAGTAAATTTTCCTTCTTAAACTTTTGGAACTTTAAGAATTTACGACTCAATTCACGTAGTCGATTTCCCTTGAAATATTTGGAACCTCATCTTTCTTTTACAACGTTACAAATCTCCGCGTAAACACAAATCCGCAATTCACTAAATTTCTTGCTCCTACTTTTTAAAACTTATGTAAATTTTGTAACTTTTCTACTCTAAAACCTTCGAAAACCCAAAATGTAGAACTCCATAGCCACCCGAAATCTTTGCAAACTCATTTTTTTATAAAGTTACAAATCTCCACGTCAACCCAATTAACTCACTTTCCTCCTCCTCCTTCTTCACGGCCTTTTTCAGCATCGGCATCGTATCTCTCACCAACTTGACGACATCGTCGATCTGCTTCAGTACGGCGACCATTTGTCGGTGCAAGTTCCACACGGTCGTCATCGCCACGTCGCAGGCCGGGCAGGTCGTCGTCGTCGCCTCCCCCTCATTTTTTTTCGTCGAATTTTCCTCGCTTATCTCCGGGCTCGCACTCTTCACAAAGGTTTTCAGCAGAACGGCTTGTTCTTTTTGGGTTGAATTATTTGTTTTCTTGTCGTCCGTTGGATTAGCGCAGATGAAACATTTCGTCGTGGTCGCCATGGTGGCCACGGGGGGCGGAGAATTTTCCCCTGGAGTTGATCGTCCCCCGGGAACAATTAATTCAATCCGGTCGAGACGGACGAACGGGTTTGGCTTTAAGGGTGACGATAATTCGGTGGATGTGGACATTCAGGATCCAGCTGGTCTAGAAATTTGGTAAAAAAATCACACAAATAATTAATTATTAGCAACCCGGTTTAATTAATAAGAGCGGAAATAATTAATTATTTAAATAAGAAACGTAAAACTTTGTTTAATTACTTAGGGTCCAAATCGTCTGGAAATCGGGTAAAAATAATTATTTGCCACATATTTACAAACCTGCTGATTTACAAAACTAATTTCATGCCAAGAATATGACGTAATCCAATTTAAAAAACGATAATAATTCCGGAAAACTATCATGAATGATCATCATTACCTATAATGATTCGTTTAAATCGTTCCTTAATTATTAAGAAACTTAAGAAACTTTAATTAATTGCGTCATGATTTCAATAATTGTGCCCCAAAACGTAGAGGAAAAGAGAAACGTATATACTGTTTTCGGATACAATTAATTATTGTTCTATTAATTATTCTTACTCAATATTGGATTAAAAATCTTGGAAATACAGATAATTAACTTTTACGTTTCAAACCTGCTTTAACTAATTTCCTGCGAATAGTACGATTTGAATACTTAATTTTGACAGATAAAGAACCCTAGATTGTTAAGGGGGTGAAATAATTAACAATTATAATATTTAATTATCTTTACCTTAACTTACCTTTAATTAAAAAGTGACTATTTTTTTGGAGAGAAATAATATGTGATTTTCGTGAAGGATTTGGTTCCCTCTTGAACACCTTTCTCTTTCCTCCATGTCTCCCTCCAGCGCATGGGGAAACGTTGCGCGGGTCGTGCGGGAGGAATTGGGGCGATTTTTTCTTTTCTGAGGGAACACCTATTTGGTGACGACATTATTCGAGAGGAAATGTTATAATTACAGATTTTTTTTTCGGTAAAACTGGAAATAGTGCCACACACGGTGTGCACGGCCCCCTCGCCACGAAGATGAAATAACAAACAAAGTAAATATCAATGCTAGCCAAAATCTTGTGTAATATGCAAAAAAGTGATGAAAGAAGTGGAAAAATTGCGATACATTGCAAATTACTAGAATGACGTTCCTTTTGTCAAATTTTTAATTTGACAGAGAATTTAAAATTAGTGATTAATTTAAAAAAATGAAATGTAAATAGTTACCTTAAATATTCGTGAATTAATCACGCCCAGAAAATTATTCATTTACATTGTATTTCACAAAATGTGTCGAAATTTGTATCGAAATTGAACCTAAAACAAAAAAAAATTGTGAATTGATCGGAAATACTTTGAAATTCGGCAAATTTGAAAATGCCAAAAGTTTTAATTAAAGTTTTAATTTTCTTTGCGAAATTCTCTCCTATGAAAATAATTGTTTTCATTCATACATATTTCTTGAAGATAATTGGTAGATACATACATAATCAATTTGTAAATTTTTGACGTCATCACTTCTTTCACATAGTTAAAATTATAGTTTCTAAATTATGTAAATTTGTACAAAATGACGCACAGGCAAAATTCTGAACAACACTTTATGTAACTGAAAAATCTCCACTGCAGCCGTAGGTAGCCCGAGCCAGGAAATCTGCCTCAAATTCTGACTCTGGGGTTGAAACTTTTCGAAATTGGAATTTGCGTACATACAAAGGTACATACGTCGACGAATTTCAGTTCGAAAATTAGAAAATTTCGAATTGGAATATTTTGATTTTTTTAGTAACAAAATATTTGTTGACCCAAATTTCAGCTTTCTGTTCATGCCAATCGTCAAATCTGGGGCATACATAATACCACATTCCCAGCAGAGCTTTTTGATTAGCCATATTTATTTCTAATTAATTAGTAATTGATAATTCGAAGGAAAATATTTTGTCAAATTAATTGCTAATTAATAATTAAACCCAGGTTGCTAATTAAGCCAATTAAATAGCTAATTAATTAGAAGATTGACCAATTAATCGGTGATTTTTAGTGACGTTCTAATTAATTAGTAATTAAAATTAGTTTCGGTAGTACTAATTAAGGTCAATTAGTAATTAACAATTTGTTGAAACATGTTATTTAATTGCATATTAATTAAAAGGCCTTGATTCCCAGCCAATTAGGGGCCATCCATATACATATTACGCCATAAAGAATTTTCCATTTTAGCACCCAGTCATTTATACGTTAAGAGATACGGAATTTTAACATAGGAAAGATAGGAAGACCTAAACCAGCCAGTAAAATGATGACGTAATACATACATGTACGTTCCCTTATGGTCAAGCAGAACTTGACCTCGCGTTTGTTAACTGCATTCAAAATTTCAATTTGACAGGGCGAATTTTATGCACAAGTTGATGGACGGACGGACAGACAAATTGGGTACGTTAGTCCCGACTCGAGCTAATAAGCTTTTATGCCATTTGCCCTACAAAAACAATGCCTTTTGTTATTTTGGATCGCCTTGGTCTCCATCCGAAACCGTTCCCATTCCTCCCTTCGCCTCAACCATGCCTTCCTCTTTCTCGTGGTTGCCGTCGAACTCTTGAGTTTCGGACAAGCCGCCCTTCTAAGTGACGCCAATTGCCCCTGCCCCCCCGTATTCGACCGGAAATCCAGCTGTGGCAAGGATCTCAATAGCACCGACTGTTTCAAAAACCGTGCCTACCAATGCCCCGAACCTGGCAAGACGGCCGTTGGGTCGAAACTGATCTGCTATAATGGGCCATGCCTGAGCACGTCACACGGCTCGTTGTGCACTTCCTACGCGAACTATGCCAAAGGCGAGTTCCAACCTTTACTCCTGATAAACACTCTAAATAATTCGGTGACAAGAACATACACTCAAAATAAGGTAGTAATGAATCCTTACCATGCGGAATGACTATGTGGCTCTACCACGTCGGTTACGATTTGTCGTAGAAATGGTAATAATAAGTTCAGGGAAATTCAAATTTAATACACAATGGTATTCACTTCTTTAATATTTGGTAATGAATTTGAATTTCCCTGAAATTATTATTACCATTTCTACTACAAATCGTAACCGGCGTGGTAGAGACACATAGTCATTCCGCGTGGTAATGATTCACTACTACCTTATTTTGAGTGTAGGAAGCATTGGAGGCGAAAGGAGGAGGGGGAATTGTCTCCCCAGAAATTGACCAAAATCGTATCTTATAAGTCCCCCCCCCCTCCTCGTAATACCCGACAATACTGATTTCCCGGGTCCCCCCCATGTCCGCAGACAATGGCTATGTGCATGTATGTATGTATGTACTACGGTAATTTGGATAATGTTGTGTATCAAACACACGTGACGTGGTCAATTTAAAAAAATACATTTTTAAGCTACTTTTTGTGAAGCCCTTGTCCGTCTGTCTGTCCATCAGCAGGATAACGTGACAGATGGGTTTGAGTGACGTATGTATGTACACGTCACCCATCCAGTAAAATGATGATGTAATATATGGACGTTCCCTAGCTGAGGATATGTTTTTTTTACGTGGAAATATTACATTATTTGAATAAGGACGTTACGCCCGTCTTATTTTGACTTGCGTTAATGCCAAAGCGTCGCCCTAATCATCGCCCTCCTCGGAGGGGGGGGGGGGTACGATTTCGCTCCAAATTATTTAGAGTGAAGAAGGGATGCAAATTAATGTGAATATGAATTTAATCGTGTATTTAAATACGTTTGCATAGTAATTGATAACGGCAAATGGCAAAAGGAGGACGATTTATTCTATAGCGAAACAGACGACCACCTTTTACAGAAAGAAGACAAATTGGAAATGAAGTATTTTGGGAGTACGTACTTAATCCTGGAAGGAAAACCGGTGGACGGGAAACCGATGGAGGCCAAGCGACTGAAAAGGTGAATTTAAAAATTCCTCTGAAAATTAGGGGCCGTCCATGAATTACGCAAAGCAAAAGTCGCTTTCCGTAATTTGTGAACGATCCCTTAAGAAGACAGGTAAATTGGAAACTTGGAAAATTGTTTAATTAATCAATTTTTTCAGAGATGGTGGTCCCGACAGTGAAAAGTTTGTTGAGGTGTGAAATTTTAAAAACTCAAGTTTTAAAAAGACGAAAATAAAACAGATGATATCATATTTTACGATAAGCTTACACTTATCTTTAAAAAATTAAATGGAGGTCTCCATTGTGTTATAAATTGAATAAACTTGTAATTGGCAAAATACACGATCTGCGACTGCTAAGAATTTGCATCCAGAGACCAAGCGACTTACATAAAACCTCCAAATTTTACACTTTCTAAAATTTTCTCCTCTTCGGATGCAAAAATACGTCTGCCATGGCTGGTCGTCTCTTTTGCCAATGTGATACTGATTAAATTTGTAATCAATTGACACTAAAACGGGAGAGCATAGACTGGGAGAACTCCATTCTTAGTTACGTATGTACTAATTAAGCCTGTTTTAATTGCGTTTTTTGGCTAAGATAATGAGGTCTGATATGTATTCCTCTTAATTAAATCATTTTGAGTGTGCTTCATTCATTCATTCATTCATGAATACATACATCATGCATATAAGGACACTCTAAATAATTTGGGGACAAATACGGGTAATTAATAAGAACACGTTTCAGGAAGCAAGACAAAAATTCGTGTACCAAAAATATTCGTATTTGGTACACAAATCCTTGTCACGTGTGTTTAACACACGTGACGTAGCTAAATATTTAAAATTATATTTTTTACTATGTGAATACTGAATTTTTTTTAAATGAACGTATTGTTTCCTTAGTAGCGACGTCACGTACGAATTTCTGACACTGCATTGGTGCCGAAACGTCTACGTAATCATTACCCAAAAATTAGCACCATTTTGGTGACAATTTGTCTCCAAGTTATTTACAGTGTGAGTAATTTATTGCAAACATTCCTCCAATAATTCTGCATTACGTGAATAAGGGCATGATGCAATTATAAGGAAATGACGTGAACAATTAAAAATATGTCCAACAATTACTATGGTTCATTTCAATTGTATTTTATTGTTGCATTGTTTATTTCGGGAATGACGTATGATTTGTCCCCAGATTATGTAGAATATACATACTTAAATTGCAAAATTTATTTTTAAGTGAAATGAAGCTTATCTTAGCTGGAGTTGGCATGCATTTAAGGAGAAGAATTTTGGTCAATTTTAAATTCATAAGATGGTTCATTTTTATCATCACTTCATTGAGAAAACAATACCTGGTATTAAATTTAATATAAAATTGTATTCCTTATTATTATTTGACATTATGCAAAAAGTTAGAAGACCAGGGCCCATAAGAAATAATAGATATGGAAATACATATTTGAGAAGCTGATACAGATATGTAAATAAGACAGATCCACTAAGTTATCGGACCGACGTAACAAAATGCTCAGAGCTTTACACACAGTTAATGTAATTTCAAAAAAATTGCATATGTTTATTACCAAAGAGTCTGGATTGCCATACAGTTACAATTTTAATGATTCAATTCCGCTATGTGCTACAGATTGCACTTTCTTCTTCAGATTTCGCATCAAATTCCGGCCATCGACTGCACCTACTTTCAAGCTCATTTTCTTCTATCTGTTCTTAAATTTTCGTAAGGTATCTAGCGTTTCTGAAAGCTTAGAATATTTGGAGTTGTTAGCGCCCAGAATTTCTCAATTGGTCGCCGTTGAGGAAAATTTGGTGGGTTTTAATTTTTCGATTTTTGCGAAACACAATCACTCTTTTTTTCAACTCTTGCCTTTCAACCCAAGTTTTTCTAGTCTTAGCCATGACTCAATAATTGTTGACATATATTGATGGAAAGCTTATATCTTGGTCTATTCAAAAATATTTTTTTCGAAATTTAATTTCAATCTGCTCCCGCTCAGCGCGCGTTTAATGGGGCGGTCCGATAACTTAGTGGATCTGTCTTATATTCTCTTGAAACTAATGCTAATCAAGTATTTATTTGTTACATAATTGCATTGCATCTTAACTGTCACATTTGTCAAGGAATAATTGTCTCGTAAATATTTGGTTTAGTGCATTGCATAAATTATGCATACTTTACACGATAATTCGATACAACTTGTCGTTAACTATATATGTGGGATTTATCTCTGTCTTTTCAACCTTAAGGTTGCGTTAATAATAACAGCAATAATAATAATGACTTATTTCGCCAAAATTCCTACATGGCTCATGGACCAGAGAATTACAGGTTATTATAGCGTCTGACATTTGGAGTCTGCTCGCCCTCAAATTATACCTTCATACTTATTTTGGGATACATACATAGTTTAAAAAAATTCACAACAGTGATATTGCATATTTGTCACTACCATTTGCAACTATGTACATATGTTGCAAATCTACGATTTCATAAATTCACATTACTGTCGTTTCATCTTTAGGAAATTCATGGCAAAATACATACATATTCTGAAACAGGTTGCCATGTACAAGTCACGGTTATGTATGTATGTACCTCCCTAGTAACCATGCTCTAAATATGTATAAAGGTTGCATTAAAACTCCTGTCAAGTTGCAAAATTAAATTCTTGATCAGAAAAGTTTTACGTGTGCATAATAAATACATATGTCAATACACACATACATACTCCTTGATATTCATTTAGTGACAAAACTTGCACTTGTATCGATGAAATTAATTACATTGGCCCGTTTTTATTTCAGTTGTTTTAGGTCAACAAATCTCCGGTAAACCCGAATTTATAACTGTCACTTATTATCATGTTTTAACCAGCTTGACTTCTATGTTTGTATGTCTGACGAGTGCAAATGTCGCGCAAATTTCAAATAATAATGTACGGCATCTAAACTTCTTTAGGTGTCGAAGGAAAGTACTTATGTAAGCAAAAAAGAGCATGGTTTGTCTTTGTCGTGTCTTTGTTCTCCATATGACAACAATTAATTTCTACGTTTTTATGTATGTACTCTCATCCGCTGGAATTTCAATAAAATTAATTCCAAAGGTCAGTAAGATAAATTACAAGGTCGTGAACAAATGGACAGTCTTGCACTATGGATGCAATAATTGCTGCATGCAACGTTGAAACGATGCATGCAGCAATTTCCATTTAAGCATTTCATTTCCATTTCCATTTCATTTTAAGAAATTTCGTGGCATCTTTAATATAATTTTTTTTCTATAGAGCATGATGACAATCAACTAAATATCTATGTATCTCACAATATTACGGGGTAAAAGGTTGCAATTTCTGTGCAAATTTATGTAATAATATGCATTTCCTGCCTTCCCTTACATATTACAACCTTCCTTTTTTAGCATTGTCAACTTTGTAATGGCAACACATCTCTTGGTCACACATATATAAGGGTTAACTTTACTAAAATTAACTCACTCTTCGTTCATAATCAAGTCGGACAGGAAGGTGTTACGAAGAGAGGAAGAGGAATGGGAGGTGGACCTTCCTTGTTAAATAATAGTGCCGTAGATCCATCCAATCGTACCGAAACCTTCATAAGAATTCTGACAAAATTATTTTCTGTGCGGGTTTTCATGTGGAACGTGACGTGAAATCAAGACGACGAATCTCCAGCTTTAACGTTTTATTGTGATTTTCTTCAACAGTATGGTGAAACAGAATTCATCTAATTTGCATATTTATAAGTACGTAAAATCTAAACACATAGAAAATCTACGGAATTTCCGGATTGTGAAATATGCATGGTAATAAGACTGCAAATTTTAATTCCCTTTAAGAATACTTTAGTACTCCTGAATTCTAATATTTAATGTGTTCAATCTCAGTACGACCGATAAGTAGCAAGGAAGATAAGACTGCAAATTATTAGATTAGTAATAGTTGCAAAACGTTGTGTAGGCAATGGGTCATTTTACGACGAGTGATTCCGCACTAATAATGTTAAGCGTAGTAGTTACCTTCCTTTGCATAAAGGCTGTTGGTTCCCAGCTTTACAGTGATTTTCAAAGTTCTAAGGACCCCGTGACTGATATTTTCTCATTGGCTCAAGTCTTGAAGAAAAGCAATGAAAATCCAGCGGCTCAATTAACCACGGTAAGAGAATGGCTGGATTCCATACGAATATAGAATATATTGGGCGTACTCACGACATCGTCTTATTTCGCGTCCCAACTCATTTAGCAAACTTGCGAACAGCAAAATATTTCGGTCGTGAGGGGATTCGCAAAATATGATTTTGCAAATCTCTCTTATCTGGCAAATTTGGTGAAAAACACCTACATATTTCTTGTTATTTTGCCATTGCATTCTTTTGGTGGCGATTGTGAGGATGAGTTTGCGAAATAATTATGTGAAACAACAACATACCCAATTGGTGGGTAAATTTGCAAAAAATCCCATATTTTTCCAGCAAAAATTTTTGCGAAATCTCCCATATCTCGCAAAATTTTGCAAGTTATGGTGGTACGCTCAATTTGAAGGGTGATGTGATTACGCTCATTCAAAATATATTTGTATTATTGTTGCATTTTTAGCATTTTGTGTGTATAAAACTATGCCAATTTTTGTGTAGCCAATGCTAGTGCAAAAGTATGGATATCCGGTTGAAAGTCATAAAGTAGTAACTTCCGATGGATATGGTAAGACAAGTGTACATACCTTAGAGAGAGAAAAGACTGATGATGAAACTAATTATGGACATGTGTAAATATTAATATGAAATTTCAGTTTTGACAATGCACCGAATTCCACATGGGAAAAATGAATATTTCCATGAAAATGAAATTCATCACCAACATCGGCCAGTCGTTATCTTGCAGCATGGCCTTTTTGCATCATCTTTTGAATGGATGATGAACAAGCCGGACAAACTTTTGGGTGAGGTTTTAGCTATAAAATTGTTATCATATATGTACACAGTCCCGAGAGAAAGAATGTAACCCAAAAATCATGAAAAAGTCTTAAATTATGAAATAATCCTACATATACGGGTTTAGGGCATAATGAGGACAAACCAATATATTAATGCTAGAATACGGACAAAAAAAGGTCGACAAAAAAACTGGACAATATTAAAATCAGGACACACTAAAGGGGGACAATTCTACTTCATTTAAACTCATATAAAACTTGAATGTAGATGTGCAAAGCTGTTGGCTATGATGCAATAAGTCCATTATTATTATTATAAAACTTGAGTGGTTTAGTTCTTTAAATTTATACCATTCGAGTACATCACAAACGCTAATTTAATAATTGCAGACCTCAGTTATTTGAAACAGAAAATTTTAAACACTGATTAACTTTCACGTAATAAGTATATATGTATGTATGCAGCACAAAAATATGTAAATTGTCCATATTGGACTGCCGTCCTTATTGTACCATTGTCCAGGTTTTTTGTGCTCTTATTTTGCCCTGTCCAGTACCACATTATCCTCATTATGCTCGGATCCGATATATGTATAAAACAATAATTGCATTATTATAGTGCAAATTGCAATAATTTTTCGTTTGTTGCTTATTAACTCATTATTCTTTCCAGCCCTAAAACTAGCCGACTCTGGATGGGTAGGTTATACAAAAATGTGCTAAGATACATATGTTTACGGTTGCATGAATCATCAAATTATCAATTTATTCAAATATTTCTATCCGAAGGACGTCTGGCTGGGTAACGCTCGAGGTAACGCTTATTCTAGAGAGCATTTAACCTTATCTCCAAGCCAAAAGGAATTCTGGGAATTTAGGTGAGCAACACTCTAAATAAAAATGAGTAAAATTTACACAAAGTTGAGTAAAAAAAAGTGGATGACACAACCTAAAAGTGAAATTTACCCAATGCTGTACAAAATGTTTCCAAAGTTGTGTAAAATTGGCTCAGAGTTTGGTAGATTTTACCTTTTGGTTGTATCATCCTCTTTTTTTTTTACTCAACCTTGAGTAAATTTTACTCATTTTTATTTAGGGTGAACTGTTTAGCATTAAAATCTAACAAATGAATCAATATACAATTTGTTTTACAGCTTTCATGAAATGGGTGACAAAGACATACCTGCCGTGATTGATTACATATTAAATACAACAGGTCATAAGAAATTGAAATATGTTGGATTCAGGTAAATGTTTAATGACACTTGTCGAGACTTGTTTTAAATAGACTAAACTTATAAAAAATGCATAATTTCAGTATGGGAACAACCATGTTTTGGACAATGATGTCGTTGCATCCTGAATATAATGAAAAAGTATGTTATAAAAAAATTGTTTGGAAATTCAACTAGTTTTTAAAATCTTAAATATTTTTTTTGTTAAAAATGTTGTGAAACGGTCTTGGAGGACTATTTTGTAAACTTTACAGTTTTATTTTGCTTCGCCAAGCTTTCGGCAAATAAATATTGCCTTCTTCAGGGTCAACGTAGATAATATAAATATTTTACAATTAATCACTCTCACAATTTCTATAACTTGATAAATTACATTAATCCTCTTGGTAATTTACGGATTTTTTATAAATGGTAAAATCGTTGGTGTCCATATGGAGTTAATTTTCATTCCATTATTGGTGTTCATTGTATTTGTCGATTTCTTGATGTACAATGCCTCTTTAATTTTTCGATGAAAGTATTTTTTTTGTTGTAAGGTAAGCCTAATGGTGGCTCTAGCTCCAGTCGTGTATATTAACAATATGATGGGTAAGCAAATTTATAAATTATTTACAGAGCTAATTAAGTCATCAAAGTGCACAACTTATTAAAAATAATCTATGACAATTGATATATTATGACAGGGTTCCCACGACTCTTCGGTCCATTCCATAAAGTGATAAAGGTATACCTTGAAAGCAGATTCATAGAATTATGCAACTTTGATTAACCCTACTTACAATTAGAAGGTGTGAGGTGGTTATCCCTTATTATTTATTCTGAAAAAAATCAAAAATTCCGTTTAAATTTTGAAATCGGGTTAAAATTCGAAAAGTTACAGCGTTTTTAAAAATCCGAATTTTAGCTCAATTTTTTTAAAATTCCGCCACGTGCGTAAACATGCCCATTAAGGAAAAAACGAAAAAATACGGGTCCACTTATTTTTGTGCCTGAATAATTTAAAATCAGTCCGGTGGATATCAGCGATAACCACCTCATACCATCACATTGTTAATTAAAACTTAATTTATCCAGTCCGTCTTATCTCTTTAGATCATCTTGGATATTCTCGGGAACGGGGAATTTCTTCCACCTTGGCTTACCCGGATTTACAATGCGTTCGTCTAACAAGGGAACCTCAACTACTGTCCCATCTCGATTTCCTTCGTAATAGCCTTAATCGACAGATAATTTAATGAAACTAAAACTTTGTCATAGAACATGCGGTGCAAAATCACGTTTTCGCGAAATATTTGGCGAGAGTTGCACCAAAACCTGCATTTTCCCAATGCTTTTAACATAGCCCCCAGCCTTTCGAATGATGAAATGAACTTTATAGAATACTGAAAAAATATTTATGTACCCGTCCGGGTAATTTCACCCCGATCACGAATATGCAAAAAGTGATGCAGACATTTGCCAATTATTTGCAAATTGCGAAAATCCGAAAAATTTCGCAAATTTGAATTCTTCGTTCCTTTAAATTCAACAAAATTTTAACCAATGTAAAATTGAATTTTTTTATTGCAAAAATTTGCAAAAATTTTCAAAAATTAAAGCTCGCAATTTTTCATGAAAATTAGTTAAAATAACCAATGCTAGTCTATTTTTACGTATTTTTCGAAATTATTTGCGATATTTATTTTTGCAAATTGCAAAAAGTTGCAATGTATGGCGTGATTTTTAGTTGATAAACAAATTCGCTTTTCCTTCATTCGTACATGCATACATATGTATGTAAATGATAATTTTTTAGTTTGTATCATGAAACGATAATGAAAAATTGAGAAATTGCGTACTTCAATTTTTGCAAATTTTTGCAAATTTTTTGCAATAAAAAAATTCAATTTTACATTAGTTAAAATTTTGTTGAATTTAAAGGAAAGAAGAATTCAAATTTGCGAAATTTTTTCGATTTTCGCAATTTGCAAAAAATTGGCAAATATTTGCACCACTTTTTGCATATTCGTGATCAGGCTGAAATTACGCGGATGGGTACATAAATATTTTTTCAGTATTCTATAAAGTTCATTTCATCATTCGAAATGCTGGGGGCTATGTTAAAAGCATTGGGAAAATGCAGGTTTTGGTGCAACTCTCGCCAAATATTTCGCGAAAACGTGATTTTGCACCGCATGTTCTATGACAAAGTTTTAGTTTCATTAAATTATCTGTCGATTAAGGCTATTACGAAGGAAATCGAGATGGGACAGTGGTTGAGGTTCCCTTGTAAGCTATAATTATTGCTTCCTAAATTAACAAATATCTATAACTTCATTAATTTCGTGAATTAGATTCGGTACAAAATTCTGTTCGAATACATGGATCGCTGAAACCGTCTGTGCAAATATTAACTTCCTTTTTGCCGGGTGGGATCTACCTCAAACTCAAATTGTACGCGAAAATTTATTTTAATTTTTTTTCAAAATTTTGATGATTATTTTGTCTCTACATGCATTTAATTAGAATCAGCTTCCACTATTTTACAACCATACGCCATCCCCCACTTCTACCAAGACGGTGGCACACATTGTTCAATTTATCCACACTGGAATATATTGCCAATATGATTATGGACACAGGGAAAATATGATGCGCTACGGAAGCTCGGTGCCGCCAAGGTACAACGTAAAAAATACGACAGTACCCGTGGCTCTGCTCTGGGGTCCAAATGATGCCGTCGTAAGGAAAACTTTTGACAACATAATACACATATTTATATGATTCTACCCATATGTACCTGTTCAAAAAACCTATTTTCATTCAAACTTCAGTCATCCCGATTTCTGTTTGAAAATTTTCATTCACTCACACTCAATCATTTTCCTTCAAACTTCATTTCACTTCATCTGACTTCAGTTCCTACTCGCCCCATGTACAAATTAAGCATACATAGGGTGAAAAATGAAAGGAATGAAAAATCCTTTCATTCATAGTCATTCATATGAAAGACGGAATATTTTTGTCATTTTCATTGAAATGACAGGAAGGACTAGTCGCAATTGAGGCTAAGACTAAATTAATTGTTTTCGTCGTTTAATTTTATTTTCCTTCTCTATCATAATCAGTCATATGAATGATAGTGAACAGGTATGATTCCAACTCAAGGGGTAATATTTGTGTATGTAGCTACTGCACATATTGAACCGTTACAATGTGCAGTAGTGCATCAGCAATGCATGGGCTTACTCCAAGTTATACCGATTAAATCCTTTATAGCAGTTAAATATACCACTCTTGCGGTGGAGTCATGTCATATCATATGTATATAAATATGTACATTCCGCGTAGTAATAATTAATGATTAATTATAATTTTTTAAAGAGTGTAACCACTTGACAAAGAAAATTAACTCGAACACATACTTGTGTATTTATTTATGTCATTACAGGTGAATCCAATCGATGTGAAACGACTTGCGTCACAATTGCCTAATCTAGTTTTCAATTCGCCAGTTCAATATCCATTGGTAAATTTTTAATTTAAGCTATAAATACATGAAGATAAGTGAGTTAATTTAACATTCTACATAGTGGAACCATTTCGACTATCATCTAGGCAAGGATGCAGATCAGTTAGTTAACCCGGTAGTTATTAATCTACTCTCAAGCTGGGCCAAAAAATAGATTGATTGCGACAAAAGTTCCTTGACATTTAATTACCACTAAGGAGGGGAGCTTCACCACCTGCCCTTCACAGATCTCGATGCCCTTTGGATATGTGGTAGTGCCCTATGAGTGTACTAAAAGCCTGAAGTGGTTTGACTCCATGGCCACATTTGCGCCCGCCACACCCACTCAAAGGCGCCAAAAACAGGAAAAAAGCCCTGTTTTCATGTACTTTAAATGTCACCAAAAATCCAATTTTGCACGGATTTTGATAAAATTTACATTTTTGTGATCCCAGATACTTGTGTGATCATATCCAGTAGATATCCCAACTTTTTTGAAATTTTGAATTTTTTCGAATAGTTCATCAGCTCGAAAATTTCGAAAATTTCAAAAAACTTGAGATTGCTATCGAATATTATCAGGCAAGTATCTGGGATCACAAAAATGCAAATTTTATCAAAATCCGCGCAAAATTGGATTTTTGGTGGATTTTTGAAGTTGGTAACTTTTGTGGTTTTCATCCCTTTGAGTGGGTGTGGCGGACGCAAATGTGGCCATGGAGTCAAACCACTTCAGGGTTTTAATACACTCATGGGACTCTACCACATATGCAAAGGGCATTGAGATCTGTGAAGGGCAGGTGGTGACGCTCTCCTCCTAAGTATTTTATATTTAAATATTTGTGCAGCTCCAAGACATGTAAATAATTATGTGAATACAGTTTCTTTATATATTTTAATTGAGATTATTAGCTCACCCTGCGTAGCATGAGAGCTATTGAATTCCTCTTGTCCGTCTGTCCGTCTGTCTGTTGACGAGTTTTTTGCATCAATTGATGCTAATTAATAAGCCCCAAGACCATTTTAACCCTAATTTGTAGCACAATTGGTATCCAAAAATCGTTAACGCAAAATGGTGCGAAATAATTGGAGGAATCGATGTATTCTACACCAATGATTAGGATTAACTGAAAGTTCTAGTTAGCCTAGGCAGACACCACTTAACCTTGAAATCGTGTCAAAATTTAGTCCCAATTTTTGCCATTTCGGCTGCACCATTGGTGCAATATTATATCAAATTTCTTTTACATATTTGCTGTTTATTCTGTAACATTGGTGCAAAATTATATAAAAATTAAAATTATACATCTATTTTCTCCGCTTATTTTGCACCTTTGATGCAAAATTATGTCCAACTAATTATACCAGGGTGAGCTACTTCTAACGTTACTACGGTTTATTTAGTAATAATATGTATCTCTCATGTGGTCATCAAGAAGAAAACTACCACCATAACTCGAAGCCAAACTTACAATTAGTTGTAGTACATACATACATTCAATATTTTAGTAATTAAAAAATAATAATTTCATACATACCTCGATATATGTAAACGTCAAGTTTTAGAATTTTTTAGTTACGCATACATATGATTTTTGTTTTATATGTATTTGAGTAGCAATAATGTAAACTGGAATTTCGAAAGACAAACAAATTGATTTTGTTAAGATTTTCAGTATGATGTTCAGTTTTATTATGATTCTCAGTATCAGTTTCAGTATGATTTTGATTATGACTAACAACGCATAACACCAATGGGACATAAAAAATTCCTTAACAACATGAAAAAACCCGTAGCAACTTTACCAAAATTTCTTAGCAACGTTAAAAAATGCCTTAGCAACATAAATAAAAATTTCCGTAGCAACGTTATAAAAATTGCTTAGCAACGTTGACAAATTTACTTATCCCAAGTTGGTTTGGGATATTGAACTACTTTGATCTTAGATTTTTTTACTTCAGGTAATATGTATTTGGCGTCATTATGAAAATTGTACTAAATGAGGATATTAATAACTATTCAGATGGATTTATTAAATTGATCTTGTGTAAATCCGTTAATTGAAAATCAAAAGATTTGTGTTTTTTATATAAATAAAACATGTCCCTGCTTCGAACAATAATCATTGTATGATAAGGTCAAGAGTCAAGAATGTGTTTTGGATATTTATTAACATTAAATATTCATAAATTATGTTTGCAAATAGTTTACGCTAAATGTTGTATTCGCATAAATAGGCAACTTACATTGATAAACTTTCACCGAGACTAATAGGCTCCAGATAATAAGACCTTCTAAAATTGTATGAATTTAATTTATTCCTCCCATCCGACGTTCCTATACTCTAAACAATTATGTTAAACCTAAGAAACCTAAAAGATGGTTACCAATTAATAATAAATTTGTTACCCATTGGTACCAAATATCTTACCTTACTGATAGCAGTAGAGTAATGTATAGTACTGACAGGTTTTTATACAATAAACTGGTAAACGATTATGTATTAGAGGTAGGGCAGAGATTTATTATCAAATCCTTATGCGCATTACCGTCTTTGCACAAGCATATACGTTACACATTCAGTAATAATTGTTACCAGGTTATGGAGACGGTAATCAAAAATCTTGACAGTCCATACCCTCACCGAAATAACGAATTTACAAACCCCAGCTATACCAACATCTCGAATAAACGCCATGAGGGCAATTATATTTCCGGTACAAACAATTAGGAAATAGCTCAATGTTGATGACTGACCAGGGGCAGTTTCATCTTCCTTGGATAAATGTGGATGTAATCCCGCCTTTGCATTACGCTGACCCTTAATTCGGTAGTTCTTCCATGAAAACCATCTCCGGAGGATGCCCGCTTCCAAATAGGAACGAACACCTCGGTCCAAAGTGACTGTTAATAAATTTAAATTAATGCCGTATCATCGGACTAATTCCGAAAGGGCCAAATTGCAGTCGATATTTAATTCCGAAAGGACCTAACTACACAAAAACTATTGAAAAGACCTAACTGCATTTTCAATATAACTGCATATATAACCGCAATCCCTGAACCTGTGAATATTGCATTTTTAAAATTTTAATTCTACGATGGGCACGACCGACCTTTAGTATTGAACTAAATATGGTAAAATTTTGCAAATGAAATATTCACAGGTTCAGGGATTGAGGTTATATATGCAGTTATATTGAAAATGCAGTTAAGTCTTTTCAATAGTTTTTGTGTAGTTAGGCCCTTTCGGAATTAAGCATCGATTGCACTTTGACCCTTTCGGAATTATGTATCGACTGCACTTTGGCCCTTTCGGAATTATGTATCGACTGCACTTTGGCCCTTTCGGAATTATGTATCGACTGCACTTTGGCCCTTTCGGAATTATGTATCGACTGCACTTTGGCCCTTTCGGAATTAAGCATCGATTGCACTTTGACCCTTTCGGAATTATGTATCGACTGCACTTTGGCCCTTTCGGAATTATGTATCGACTGCACTTTGGCCCTTTCGGAATTAAGCATCGACTGCACTTTGGCCCTTTCGGAATTAAGCATCGACTGCACTTTGGCCCTTTCGGAATTAGTCCGACGATATGTAAGATGATTTAGAAGTTTGTCATACTGAAATGGGCCATTTTTCAGTGCAAGAATTTTACGTCTCTAAAAACATAATTATTTTCCATGTCCTAACTAACTTATTTTCGTCAACCACAAAGTAAAAATTTGTCTGTGGATACTTAGGAAATGTCCCCATTGAAAAATTTTGACATAAAACCGCCCTGTATTTTTTTTTAGATATTTCTGTTTCGTACTAAATTTCGTACCTTGCAAATGGTCCATATGTTTCGAAAAATGCAATACGCTCAAGACTAACATCCTGGTATCGGTCGATTTGAGAAATAAAATCTGTCCAGATTTCGAAACTAACGATCCATACGCGCTCATCAGTCCTGCCTGCATCGTACCCATGCAAACGATTCCCCATTTTTCCATCCGCGAGAAACATATGGAAATTTTAAAAACTTCATAATTTAATAGTCCCTCTTTTTACAAGTCTGATAAATTTTTGTAAATCAAATTCTCACATTGGCAAAAATGTCGGCGAACGTCGAAGTCGACTCAATTTTGTCGGCCAGCCTACCCTACCAAACAAGGAATTCTTTCCTTGCTCAGCCGCCAAAGTACGCACGACGTAGCTTGCCCAGCTATCATTGCCGAATAAGGAGATTGCAAATTTTGAGGAAACCAACTTTTCAAATGACTCCGGAGCAACGGCATAGTCAGGAGTTGATAAAGACGAAACGATGACAGATTGCAATTCGGAGCTAAGTAGGATTAAGGAGAGAAACCACGGTCCCAGGACAAACTTTATCTTCCCCTGGACCAGTTGTCTAAAAAAATGGGGAAAGTTAAGGCCACATACATATCTTCATAGAGTTTTTAGTCTTACTCTACCCATGTTCCATATTCTTAAATGCAAATCCTAAAATTGAATCAACTCCATGAGTTTTGGGATAAATGCAACTTTTAAAATTTTTATCTAACTCTAATTTTTGGTACTACAAAAAAGTCGATTTGAAAAAAATTAACAATTTTGTTCACCATTTTTCACTGTAACTTTCCTCAAAAATGAATTCGCTAATTTTTTGTTTCAAATTGACTTGTTTGTAGCACCAAAAATTAGATTTACATAGATTAAAATTTTTAAAGTTGCATTTATGATAAATTAAATTTATCATAAATCATTAATTAAATTTATCATTTATGATAAATGCAACTATCAAAATTTTAATCTATGTAAATCTAATTTTTGGTACTACAAGCAAGTCGATTTGAAAAAATTAGCGAAGTCATTTTTGAGGAAATTAACAGTGAGAATGGTGAACGAATTTATTAATTTTTTTCAGACTCGTTCGTAGTACCAAAAATTAGATTTATATTAAAATTTTTAAAGTTGCATTTATCCCAAAACTCTTGGAGTAGATTCAATTTTAAGATTTGCATTTAAATACATTGAACATGAGAGAAAAAACTATATGACGTATATAAAGGGTGGTTTAAATGTCACGCTACAATGAAAAATTATTCGATAGGAAAAATCCATAAATTTCCATTAGTTACCGAAATTTTGTCTCTAAAATGCAACATTTTAAGAATTTTGTCATCAGTTTTGATAATAATTTATAAAAATCTCAATCCAAATTCTTGTAATTAATGGAGATTTAGGGACTTTTCCAATTGAAAAATTTTCCATTGTAGCGTGACATTTTAACCACCCTGTATGTGGCTTTAATATTTGTTGTAGAAAAATAAATCGGAAAACTTTGTTTACGAATAAATATTTACTTCTCCATTTCGAGGTTGATGTTCTGCTGAGGAATTAAGCGACAAATCCCGGCCAGTGTGGAGAACCATATTTCTGTCCGGCGCCATTTTTCTCGCGGTTTTGTGAATATTATTGTAACCACAATGAGGACGGTGCAGGCGACGAAATATGTTAGGAATATGGGGTCCAGTTGTTTTAATAGGGCGGCAGCTGGGTTCGCATTCCCTAACGGTTTTTTGAGGCTGGTAAAAAAGGCGAGACCGTCCGTTATGCCGTCGGATGTTGTTGAAATTAATCCATCATGTTGACTTGCTAGCTGCCAGATGGCGATATGAACTTCACCAGACTGAAGGCCGCCGTACAGTCCATCGTACAATTGGGTGGTGGAATTTAGTTCTCCGTAACTGGAGTAGATGTAAGGTGGGCCAAGGGTGGCGTTTAAGTATTGGGTGAACACAATCACAGTAGCGAGAAAACTATCGTCGACAGATTCGCCCTCACTGTGAAATAAGGATAATAAAAAGTCTTAAGTTTATTGGTATCGACTTGTTATATATTTCATTTAATGATGTACAGATCAATCGAGAATTTCCTGTGTATTCGGGGTTCTATTGTTCTTTCGAAATGTATCCATTTCCAATATTACATAGATATATTCCCATACATACTTATATATTTTACATGTGCACATATAATAAATCTGATTACTGACCACGAGTATGTTGTTTAAATAGTGTTTTTTTGACAAGCTAAGGCGGTACTAGAAATTGTTACATGTTCGTAATTCGATACCTATCGTGTATGTAACAACCATGATTTTCGGTATGAGAAGTTAGCCAGCGAGGGAGAACGATTCTGAGACATTTATACGTGTAGGACATTTGATACCTTGTTTGAGTTAGTGTGTAATTCTTTGGTTAATTCTCTAAATATTTTTTATATAATGCAAATTCCAAGTGTATCTTATAAGGAAAATGCCAATTTAGCTTAAAGGTCCAAAGGTTTAAAGTCGATGACACGCATCACCAAATGGAATTCCATACAGTCCTTAGAATTGTCATACATAGTATACTAGGACCACATCCTTTACAACTGGCCATCCTAACCTAACTGGTTCTACTTCTGTTCGATATACTATTCTGATATCATGATAAAGTAATATTCGATGTTTGGGTAGTGACAGATTATAAGGACGTATGATATTGCTAGCAAGAATTAGGTTTGTAGCTTTTCTTAGTGGGTGTATGTGGCATCATGTCCATACATTTCTTTTTGTTTGGTAAAAACTTATTGAATAGCTTTTTCCGTAATAGAATGCTTTGCCACTGGCGGATGCCCAAACTTGATAACACGACCTTGAAAATTCGCCCTTTTACGGTAATAATTACCTTCTCCAACCCGTTCTAAGAATTCCCCTCCATATACGTCAAGATCGTAAATTTTGAATTCTCCGCTTCCCCTGGAGATAATATATAGAATATTTCCATAACCGGAGAACGGATATGATTTAGCTTCATGGAAGCTTCCGCACATAACGAGATGATAGTTGGAACTCCTACTGTTGAACTGGACAAACTCCCAGCCTGGGAGTCCCAGGGTAAGTTACTCCTTGATAAGGTAGCGGTCACTCCTTTGTATTGGATAAAATTGCAAATTTTACCATACCTTTGAAGGAATTTTGTCGTTGTGAAGTTAGGTTTTGATTCAGCTCTGAGGATAATTTGGACCTGATATTTTTGAGTATGAATGACTTCATCATCCGTGAAACCACGACCCCAACGAGTATACAGACAAATCGTGTCAGCATCAGCGTCTTGCTTGATTTTTGTTAGTTTCTTGTAAAAATGTGATTTGCCAAATACTGAGAAAACGTAAATAAAAAATAGAAAGAAACATTTCATGACGCTATACATATTTTTAGTTAAATTTAAATTAGTGGTTTGAAATTATGTAAATCCTGCAGTATACTTCAATATCCACTGACTGTTTCCCGACTTACGAACAACAGTGTGGTACATTAAGGGATATGTTTTCCGTCGATGTAATATTTATTGATCGTGTCGATTGTAAATTATTCAGTGTCAATATTCAATTACTTTAGCTCCACGTTAAATACCTGGATCAGTGCATGTGTACTTTATTCGTATCTAGCCCTCAGATAGGACTTTTCCATGACAGACTAATCTTTATTTAGTCTTGACTAAAATTTATATATGTAGTCATTGAAGTTTAAAAGTAAATACAGGGTGGTTTAAATGTCACGCTACAATGCAAAATTTTTAAATGTGAAAAATTCATAAATTTTCACTAAATAGTTACCGAAATTGCCTATGAAATTCAACATTTTAAGAATTTTGCCATCAGTTTTTTTATCCGTTTTGACAAAACTATTCGGTAAATTTTAAAACTTTGGGTAACTAAGGGAAATTGACGATTTTTTTCAATTAAAAAATCTTCAATTGTAGCGTGGCATTTAAATCACCCTGTATAACCTCATTTTTTAAATATATTTTAAAAGATGTAATAAAGAAGACATTTGAATGAATGGGGAATGACGGCTATTGAGCGAGGAATGATAATTCCGTCTAATAGTCAGCAGCAAAATACGTCACCGCACCGTCCTGAATTATCGAAAAATAGTTTGAAAGTTTAATTGCGTCGATTATTGTGATCGTAACTCGGGAGGATACAATCGAAATTACATATTTCATCTTGGGATTGGTGGCTCAAATAATGGGGACTTCTCCGTGGTCCAAGTGCATATTCTGCATGGCGCCAAAGAACTGGATCAAACTTGGCTAGTAGTTCAATTGTGGCTAAAAAAAATTTCAATTTTATTGCTAATATAATTTCTCAAACCATCCTTAAAATGATAAATTTCGTGAAAACTTCTTATTATTATCTCACCCCTGCGTAGCACGAGAACTATTGAATTCCTCGTGGCCATCTGTCTGTTGACAGACGTCATATAATAATCGAACTTGAATTTCGAGAGAAAAAAATTTTGATTTTCTTGAAATTTACAGTTTTTTGGAACAGAATTTGTAAGAGAAACAGTAAATTTAAAAATAATTTAAACCTTTCTTTAGCATAATGAATTTACCCTGCCGGGTAAACCGGTACTGAAAATTACCCAGGACTGGGAAAAGTGCCCGGTAAGGCGGGTAGCGGGTAACTACCCGGTGCCCGGGACATGCCTAATATCAGTAATCATAATAATAATAATTTATCGGAAAATTCTTACAAGGCTCATGGCTCATAGAATTTCAAGTATTTACGTTGGTTTAAGAGAAGTAATTCGACTCCGTAAATACATAATCGCATCAAAGTCAAATGTCACGGATTACAGGAATAAAGAAGTTGAATGTACCTTTACCAGGCTAAAAAATCGTGCTGAGTGCAATGATCGCGTGGCTTACGAATCAAAACTGCGTTGAATGACACCCATCCGAGTCATGAGTGCGAGGCATTGATTCGTGTTTTTGCATCGTTATTAAATGATGACTTCCCCCTTTGGTAGCACCAGCAAATCCATTCATTTAACAAATAAGTGCAAATTCATCCGCAATTTATTATTTAATTCCATTAAAGTTTGAATGAAACTAATGTGTGATTATTGTCACAACAAGGAATGTTATTGACAACAGTGCTATATCAAATGCCCTAGTTTCCTCATATGATGGGCAACACACTGAATGAATTCAATTCATCCAAATTAAAATGACGTCTGCTAAATTACCCCAACATAAAAGCAGTTCTTCCTTGAATCAGAGCTTAGAATTGGAGTTCACGTCTTGTATCAAAGTTATTGATAAATTTTGACAAATTTCCGAAATCAAAATGGGTGGCGTCGCTACTTTTTATCTCAACGCGATCGCATCTGCATTATTTTCAATTTCTGCAAATAATGTATTGCAATTTGGAAGGTAATTTTAACACTATTTTATGTCTACGGTTGAAATTTTAAACTACTTTTTAAATGCATATATTTAAAATGTTTGGGATTTTCTGTAAAATACTTAAAAATCCTAAAAATATGTTTGTACTTTGCCAGCCATTGAGACAGCTACGAAATATGGTTATCAGAAAAGAAGTATTTTTCCTCCAGCCTTTTTAAAATCTTTGACAGAAAAATTGTGTGCACTAACTGATATACAATTTTTTGGTAAAAGTGTGTAAAAATTTTGGTATTTAATAGAAAATGATAATTTGTTCGGAAATTTTGAGGAGCAAGATGGAATGAGATGCATGTTTCGTAACCAGTCTGTAGTTGTGCGATTAGTAAAGGAGTATATATGTATGTATGTAAATACATGTTCAAAAAATATTTATTCATTTAAAGTTCATTCATTCAAGGCCTTGAAAAAAAATATTCATTCCTTATTCACTCATTAATAATTACAAAAAAAATATTCATTAATTATTCAGCATTTATTCATTATTCACCATTCCTTCATGTTCTTCAAAATTCACAGTATTAGACGAATTTCTCAACTTTCCCTATGTATTAAGCATTGAGTTAAAAAAATGAACGATGAAAAAAAAATTCATTCATTATTCATTCACACGAATTTAATAGATATTCACTCAATATTCATTTATTTAAAAATCTGAACAAAATATTCATTTAATATTCATTCAAATTTTGAATATTGAATGAATAATTTATTCATTCGTCATTAAATGAATGAATGAATAATCCAACTTAAATGATTTTATAGCAAGGAAGCAGATTACCACGAGCCAGGACGAACTTGGTCCATGTGTGGACGAGAAAACTTACCACTCAACAATTCCTACTGTGATGAGTTTGATGTCAAAATGAATTTGGCACTAGCACAGTTATCTTGGGCGATCGACGCCATGAAGAATAATCTCGAAGGTCAGAATTGGATGTCGACCAGCCTGAACGGTACTCCGAATTGGGAGACTATTAGACCTAGGTATTTACATAGGAGTAAGAATTATTCGATTCAACAATGAAATCCACCACTAATTTTAAAATTTGGAGTTAAGTATTTTAAGATGTTACTATAGTCGGTGTGTGATAGTAACAGCAAGATTTTTGGGGGCAATTACCCTGGGGGGTGTTATGGACTTATAACATGGTGTATATAGGGAAATTTATTTCTCTGGAACGGGTGGATGGAATTTCAAAATATTTTTTTTGTTGTAATCCTTACCCAAATACCTCCACCCCTTTTTGGTGTTTTCCCTGAATTTTACGTTTGAACTTCGTAGCAAATTTTCTAAAGTTATTAATAATTTAGATATTTTGCACATTTTTTGTTTCAATATTAGAAATTTTGCTCCGAAGTTCAAACGTGAAATTTTGGAAAAACACCAAAAAGGGGTGGAGGTATTTGGGTAAGGATTACAACAAAAAAAATATTTTGAAATTCCATCCACCCGTTCCAGAGAAATAAATTTCCCTATATACACCATGTTATAAGTCCATAACACCCCCCAGGGTAATTGCCCCCAAAAATCTTGCTGTTACTATCACACACCGACTATAGTAACATCTTAAAATACTTAACTCCAAAATTTAAAATTAGTGGTGGATTTCATTGTTGAATCGAATAATTCTTACTCATAGGTAGTTACTTTTAATGTTCGATCAAATACTTTTTCGAGTTATGTAAATATGTAATGGGAAGCAGATTTTTTACATCTGGTTAAAAGTTGTTAAGAAATCTGGTATAACCACACTATGGGGTAGGCAGGGTACGCACGGCATAGGGGCCCCGCAGGTCCCCGGAATTTTAAAAAACTTTATTATATCCCGACGAGATGTAACAAAATATTAAAATAATCACATCTAATTCAAATTGTGTTAAGAAATTATACCAAATTTTATTGAATAATTTAAATTCCAAAAATTCTGAGCAGGAAAATGGTTGGTGGCTTCAATCCTCCAGATCCTGACGAGGTGCAGAAGGAAATTGACGATCTTAAAGAGGAAATAGTGGATCTGCAAACTAAGCTGGCTCAAATAGACGTGAATGGTGACATCGACAAAGTTGAAAGTCAGATGGCAGTCGTGCAAGAAGAAATTGCGCAATTAACGACAAAAATGGACAGTTTAATGCAAGAAGGTAGAAATTTAAGTATATGAAAATTGTATGTTACCCACACAACGAAGTCGTCAAAGCTGGTCAAATTTGACCTCTTTCAACTTTATCTGTCTCGATTAAAATTTCCGTTGAGTGAGAAATTGAATTCATAACTACATTTAGTAGAAACCAATTGAATTTCTATGATTTTCTGTAAAACCCAAATATTTATTTCAACCAGTTTCCAAGTTTTGACTTTTTTGACGAAAATCACGAAAACTCCACTTTTTAACATTAGTCGGTATACGGAAAATCCCAGAATTCGTGAAGAAAAATATCCAAAAAGTCAACTTTTTACCATCCAGTTTTCCACAAAATACCAAAGAAACACTCGAATTTTGAGAAATTTTGAGAAAGCTGCATTTAAAAGGAATACGTGATATGACATATTTGGTCTCTTAGGAACATACGTCACATGACGTATTTAAGTGAACAGCAGCTAAAGATGGATTGCAAAACTTGCAATGAACAACTTGTAATAAGACTTGCAAAATTTGAAAATTTACAAATCTTTCAATTTACTGTTTTTTCTATAGCCCAAGACACTTTCAAAGATCAAATAGAAACATTGGTCACATCCCTGAGCGCCATTTCGACCGCAGCTTATACCCTTAAAATAACAGTAGCGAATTTGGAGAAAGATCTCGAAGATTACAAAATTATAAATATAATGCACGAAATTGTCCGTGGGCCTGACAGCGGGACGGCGTACCTGTTCGAGAAAGGATCCTTCAAGGGCAGCATGACTACTGTGCTGTCATCCCTCGTGTCACTTTCTTATGTTGAGGTTCTCAATGACAACGAATTCATCTTGAAAATTTTCAAATTTCTGAGTCTCCTTGAAGACAAATATGTAAGTTGGGAAGACTTTTTGAAACTATATTTTTTATAGGGACCTAACTTGACTTTAAAATGGTAATAATAATTTCCGCGAAATTGAAACTAGTCACCTTATGGTATCTATTTTGTTCATGCATTGTAGTAAATTTGAATTTAGCCGAAATTATTACCATTTTTGCGAAAAGTTTTAACTGATGTGGTGGTCACCCTACCCAGCAATTAATTACGTCGAGTGTACTGACCGATTTTTATTATAATGATAGTAATTTTCGAAATTATTTTCAGAAACTTGACGGATGCAAACACCTCTACTACATAATCGTCCTGAGTAACCACTTCTACAACAAACCACAACCCTTCCTCGTGGCCCATATGCTGACAAGTTTGTTGCAGTCCGATGACCCAAACGTTGCCAATGGAGCCTCAAATTTTCTAAATTCTGTCGTTTCCCCCATCGTAAAATTCATTGCTTCCGATAAGAACGCCAACAATGAACCGCTCTGCCACGCCCAATACATCAACAATGTAATTGCTCCGTGCACCGTTGTTGCGGCAGGGGATGGATTCGCATTTGATGATTCACATGTCATCGGGTATTTTTGAAAATATTGCATTACTTAATTATTTACTCTTACAATGCGATGGTAAACCTCCGATTTGGTTGAAATTTTGAAATTAAGTGGTCCATGTCAATACAACCAACGTTTCTTGAGGCAGTTTGGGCGATGGTCAGAATTTGGCAAAATATTTGAGGTCAAAGTTTAAAAATGTGCAATTATTAGCACAAGAAGAAAATGGAAGTTGAGTTTGCTTCCTCCGCCTGGTAAAATTCGCCCATTTTACAACCTTCGTCTCAAATATTTTGACAAATTCTGACCATCGTACAAACTGCCTCAAGAAACGTTGGTTGTATTGACATGGACCACCTAATTTCGAAATTTCAACCAAATCGGAGGTTTACACTTCACATCATCGCATTGTTAGAAAAATCTGGAGCCCACATGACTTAACCAAAATGTGACGATATTTTACATTGTAATAAATCTCCCCCACAATGTGTCAAGTCCTCACTATTTCGTGTTACGTTTACACATTTTGGGGAAGATTTATCACAATGTGGGGTAAAATATTATCACAATTTGGTCAAGTCATGTGGGCTCCCTGTTTTACTAAGAGTGTAAAAACAGCTAAATCATTTAGCTAACATTTAGCCTAAATTCATTTATTTACTTGTGTGGATTGTAACAAAGTTTAAATTTTTTCAGAAATAGCGCATTCCAGTTTGGATCGAATTACGACGACGGTCTAATGATTGGGGATGATTGCGCAGTTGCAACGGGATTTATGGAAGTTCCACATGCCGTTATGAAAGAGTCGGCCCATTTCTGTTTTTCACTCCAACCTGGTGCTCGACTGAATAGACGGGTTATATATGACGCTGATTTTGACCCGTCTGATTTTGTCCGGTCACGTTGGAAGTATGCAGACCAATCACCTTGCTTAGGATGCAGGAGCGCGAAATGTTATTTAATTTTGTATCCACAAGCACTGGCTAATGATGAAATGACTTATTGGAGCTTGTTCGGGGGTGGGGTAGCATGCGAGTCAGTTTGACAGTGATGGCGATTGCTTACGACGCTATTGTTTCAAAATTTGCATTGAAATGACCATTACAGATTCAAGGATATTGTTTCTATTTTAGACAGTGTATAACATAAATTCATTAAAATGCAATAAACTTGAATAAACGAACGGGATAAGTCTTGGTTTTGTCGCTTTATTTCTCTCATCACTATAATATCATATACTGCGTAGTGTGTCCTGACAGTTATTCGGGATTGCCGTCGGATTTGGCATGACTACAGTAGGAACTACATGTACATTAGGAACCTTAGAGGTTCCGTTTTTGTTGGAAAAAATCATTTACATACATATATGATCGACAGAAAGTGATCTGTCCACGTACACTTTACAATCCTACAGGATTACTATCCGCAAAATGTTTCACCTTGAATACCCTTATTGAGTTAATGATTAAGTTCGAAGTGCCGGGTAATCCGGGTACCCGCAACATGGCAACAATATTGTTAACTGAAGAACGTGAGCAAGGCTCAAGATGCAGCGAATTGGGTGAAATGGTTAATAAATGTATGAATCTCAAAATGCCTGAACTACTTGAGTTTTACATGGCCGAATTTATTAAGAGAAAGACATGTATTCAATGCACGACACAGTTAACACCAGTGCCGGTAGAGTCACATATGTATGTACTCCGGTCGGCAATGATTTAATACCAGATTTCTAAGAGTGTACAAATCTAAATACCTATGCCATGTTCAATTAGACGATGCATACATACCTACATTGCACTCGTTCGCACCCTTTACTTTCTACACTGACATAATCAAAGTAATAATATTATCCAACAACATCCACAGAAACACGGTCCTCGCACTTTTCTTGATCGCAAAAAAATTGCCAACCTTCATCCTCAAATTTGTCAAACTTTTAAGCTTCCGCCTCCCCAACGAGCTTGTACTTTTCTGAACTCCCCAAAATAGCAGAAAATCTTCTGATTTTCCCGTGATATTTGCCACCAGTGGGATCAACTTGTGTGCCGCACCGACCAAAAGAACCAAAACTATGCCCGCCTGCAGGACCAGTGAAAATGGGACATCCTCATTTAGCACGACGAGCACATAGCCGAGCACACTTCCTAACGAAATTGCCACCAAAAGTGCGACCGGATAGACATAAACTAGAATTCCGTTCTGTATCTCGGCAATTATTTGGAGCTGTTTATATTTCAAAAAGTAAATTTGAAATTGCTCAAATTTTGAAATGGCCACGTTTTGAACATGACTTCCGGTCGCATTTCTTCTTCCGGTATTGTCACTTGCCATATCATCGAGACAAATGTGCAAGGAGGACGTTACGTTCACAATGTAGATTAATAAACTAAAGATCATGATGGCATTGTGAAAAACGAGGGTGAAAGTTAGTTCAACGCGTAGCAGGATTTTTATTTTGGGTGGAAGACAAACTCCGCGAAAAAGGAAGTATGACGGATCCATATTTGGAATGACGAGTGGAATGGACGACATTGCTATCGGAGTAGTAAAAGTGAGAGGAAATACGGTATTGAGTAACAAACCAATCGTCATGGAAGAAGAGGATTCTGTAAGGTGGAATTGTATTTATTAATTTTTTGAAGATAGTTTCTTTTTTATTCCTGTTCATTTTTTTCCAAATTCCTTCGCTTCGAAATTCAATTTAAATTATTCATTCATTCTTCACTCATTCTATAAATAATTAGCCCCATGAATTTAACATAGGGCAAAAAATGAATGAATAAAAAATACACTCATCCATTTTGAAATGTCAAATCTTCATTCATTCAATGAATTATTCACTCATTCATTTCGGCAAAATTGAACGAATATGAATAAGTCTGGTTTCTTTCTTTGAAATAGTTTAATCTATTTTTTCGTTACGTTTGGTTGAATTTTTTATTTGATTTATTTATTTTATATTTTTTGTCTGAATAAAAATATGAATAAAAATCTTATTTTGAGAAAATTAACTTACCTTGAAGTTTTCCCGATTCTTTCAAATTGTGTAAATTTCCACTTATAAAACATATCTCGCTGCTTTTTAAAACGTAGGTAACGATATTCGTCAACGACACCATACTCGGACCAAAGAAGACGAGAAGGGTGATAACTTCCCTCGTGGAAATGTCAGGATCCTTAGCATAAGAAAGAATTTGGTACAAAATAATGTACAAATAGTACAAATTTGATAACAAAGTCATGCCGAAAAATAGAAACCAGGGAAACAGCTTGGATTTCTGCGTTGCAAAAGGTCTTCCACTGCCCCTAATCCAAGTTATGTACTGCGGATAGATCGATTGGGAAAAGAGGGCGTAACGTTGCATAGCGGAGAACGGATCGAGTGAAATTTGAAATTTTGAAAATTTCGAAAACATGAATTCACTCATAATTTTTCGGCTTGTTAGAGATAATTTCCGACAATACATGATATCAAATTATGTCTGGTTCAGGTTGAAGCTTTCTGTGGAATACTTGACGTAAAACGAAACAAAATAACGCACAATGTTGGACTTTAGTATGTTTGGGCTCGAAAATTCACTTTCGGAAATAACAAAGTTGACCAATACGGTATTGTGGAAATACTGGAGGAAAAACCACTTCAAACAAGACAAAAATTGTTGAAGTCTGTATTTAATATAGATGAAATTCATGAAAATGGGTTCATAGATTATTTGTCTGGATTATTGGTAAATCGTCGATGACATTTATACAAATTTATATCTTCCCCAGCCGATGGAATTGACAGACAAATAATATATAAATTTATCGATTTTAGTACCTACTATTTAAGTTAATTGTTTTTTCATGAGTAGGCCCGGTTCCTAATAAAATTAGGCAAATAAGACAAATATCAAGCTACTTTCCAAATAATGTAATTACATTCTTTGAAATCTACTATCTCATATTGTGAGCAGTTCCAATTTTTCCAGAGAATAGGTTAAACATAATAGAATTAAAGTAGTTCGATATTACAAACTTGGAGAGCTATGTATTTGTATGAAACAATGCTTTTCAGGGGACAACATCGAATATACACTGCGACCGGTAAAACAAGGACACCTAACATTTTTTCCAATTTCTCAAAGGCCCTTCGGAATGTATAGCTGTTTCTTTCGCCATTAAGTACTACAGTTGCTAGTAGTCTTGTCGCAAAATTTTGTTAAAATTGGTGCAGAGGCGTTGAAATTATTTAAGAACATGTCAAAATCAGGTGGCCAGTAAAACAAGGACACCCCAAATTAAATTGATTGTTTTCGGCGAAAGTAATTAAAATATGACGAACTGTGGTAGGAAATTAAAATTTCAGTACATTTGGGATATTTTGGTGAATTTATGACATAAATTTACTCTTTTCTTCGGTATATTTCACATAGTGAGGGATAAATTCCCGAAATTGGTGCAGAGTAGAAGCTCAATGTGCATTACGGCGGAGTATTTTCCAAACGTACAATCACCTAAGTGTCAGCCGACCTTTTGTAACAAGGATTAAGGCCAAGGGGATTACTTTCAGTAGAACAATTAACAGAGGACGCAAGCCTTAAACGACACAAATATAAAAATTCACTACTCGCCGTCACTCTAGCAACAACTGTGTAACAATTAGCCAGCTTTGAGCGGAGTTTTAGCTTCCTAGTTCAACATCTGAAACTATTCAGGCCATGTCTGCTTGCTCAAACTTCGGCAAGAGGAAAATTAAGATGAAACCGGTACATCCCCAGAAGCAAAAAGATGGCGGATTCCAACGGGCGAAACAACGAGTGACGTGGACTTCTAAGGGGGATTACACCGTCTTTAACGACGAGAAATGAGTTACCTGCGGCGGACCTGCTAGCTACAACTATTATTTTCGTGACCTTCGCAAGGAAAACCTTAATTTTTGCCATAAATAGAACGGTGGAAATTGTGTCATGATTTAGGTTTTCGTCGGTCGCGGAATGACGTCCGAAATCGTATTTGTTCGTACACATTTTAACTTACACGGTCATAAAAACATCTCAAGAGTAATTGATTTCACCCGAAACACAACTTCGCAAGAAAAAATGGCTGTTTCAACCAGAAAATACACCATATTATGCATTTCGGTAATCAAAGAATTGGTTCTAAGACAACGGTATCGACTTTCTGCCTTAGCCATTGAGGAGTTCGGGTCTAAATTAGATTAAAAATATTCAGGGATACTTATAGCGTCAAGTCTATGCTCATAGGCGACCATGTTCAACAGTTTTCCAAGTAAAACAAAGTTGCATTGATGCATGTGATTCAATGCCAACCAGTGTCATTAATCAGCACGTGGGGTCGATGAAAAATTAAAATTTGTCGACCATCAATAAAGGGGATAGCTATTCTGAGTATTGATCTGAAAGAGAATTGACAAAGTCCAAAATAAATGATTCAAAAAGCAATAATTCCAAAGGTGTCCTTGTTTTACTGGCCACCTGATTTTAACGTATTATTTGATAATTTCTCCGCCCCTGCACTAATTTTAACGAAAATTTGCGACAAGACTACTACACACTGTAGTACTTAATGGTGAAAGAAACAGCTATACATTCCGAATGGCCTTTGAGAAATTGGAAAAAATGTTAGGTGTCCTTGTGTTACCGGTCGCAGTGTAAAAGATTATCTGTTAAAAACCACATCCCTACATATGTAGACAAATATATTTCGATAGATATGCAGGGCTAAAAGAAAATTTTCCAATGGGAACAAGCATGGGCGAAGTTTCCCATTTTAAAATTCATTGTCAGGGTATGCTACCCCAGGTTTTTGGGGTATTGGGGTATTGCGGGTTTTGATGGGTTTTGGGGTAGCAAATTTGAGCAATACCCACGGGTTGTCGGTGTTTTCAAATAAATAAAAATTGCATAATCTCTTAAAAGAACATGTTACTGATAATTTTGTAAATTAATTAGATGCTAAAATTGAATTAATGAACTGCCTTGTTGCGAAATAGTCGAAACATCAGATTGTTTTCTTAACATAATATATTAATACATGAGACACTGACTCAGTTTATCCCGACTACCCCGACTACCCGCAAAACCCAGGTAAAACCCCGGGGTATGGGGTTTCAATAGCAAAACCCCGGGGTTTTCCTTACTCTGTTCATTGTCCTATGGGCGTCTCCCGTGGGTTCCCATGGATTTC